CCACCACCTGTCAGTAGAGGCATGTGTGTTGTTATAATGTTGAAGAAGTTTCAGTGGAGCTTTCATATTGAGATGCAGATTCAGATTAGGAAGAAAGGCCTGGTGATCAATTTCCAAATATGAAAATCCCATGGGTCACAATAGTCTGATCCTATTGTGCATGGGTTCTCCATGAGTCATGGGTCAACTTTTCGGTAGTTAATAACAATAAGGAATTAATATTGTTTTCTCCAAACAAATTGCTTCTAAACAATAGCACTATTTATAAACAGAGTTTATTCTTCAGTCCTTTCTTAGTTAACTCATGTTGCTATAGCAGAAATATCACAAGTGGTAGCTTTTACAAACAGAAATGTATTTTCTCACAGTTTAGGAGGCTAGAAGTCCCAGTACAGATAACCAGCTCTCAGGGAAGGCTTTCTCTCTGTGTCTGCTCTGGGGAAAGGTCTTTGTCTATTTTCAGCTTCTACTCATAGGTTCCTTGGTTATCTTCATGTGGCATGGCATCTATCTTCCACCATCTCTACTTGCTTCTCTGCTTGCTTAATCTGTTCTTTTATATCTCAAAAGAGATTGACTTTAAAACACTCTACAATAATTGTTGTTGTTGTTGTTATGTGCCGTCGAGTCGGCCCCGACTCATAGCGACCCCTCCTTGGGTTTCTGAGGCAGTATCACTACGGAAGTAGGATTGCCCAACCTTCCTTCTGAGGAGTGGCTACTGCCTCATTAACACAACAAAGAAAAAACATTCCCAAATGAGATTATAACCATTACAGAGGCTAACCAAAATACCTATTGCTGTCAAGTTGATGCCAACACACAGTGACCATATGGGGCAGAGTAGAACTGTCCCATAGAGTTCCCAAGGCTGTAGTCTTTACAGATGCAGATTGTCACATCTTTCTTCCATGGAGTGACTGGTGGATTTGAACTGCAGATCTTTCAGTTAGCAGCCAAGCATTAAACTACTGTTCCACCAGGGCTCCTTCAAGTCAAGGCTACCACCATTAAAAAAAAAAAAAAAAAATTAGCTCAAGGTTACCACTGTTAAAAAATGTTATTTCAAGCACATACACATCAAAAAAGGCCAAGTGTTAGGTAAAAGAAATATCTCCATGTCCTAGTGTTTCCATGAGTAAAAAAATAGCAAGCAACTGAGGACAGTTCCAACTCTAAAACTGGATTACCTGGGTGTGGCAGATGTGGAGAAAAGAGGTGGCTAAGGACAGAGGAGAAAGAGCCAATCAAAGAATTAGGAATTTTCTAAAGTTGGAAGTATAGGATAGATGGAGGGCAGCTACTGGGCAAACAGAAGTAGGGAATGGTAGGTACAAGTCAAAAGTCAGGGTGAGTCTGAGAACCAGGCACTAAAGAGGAAATCTGGGAACAAGAAGTTAAGAACACATGTTGGAACCCATTCACTCAACACATATTTGTTAAGCAGATACCACGTTGTAGGAACTGTGTTGAAAATTCAACAGAGAACAAGACAGGCAAACAAAATCTGTCTCCATGAATCTTGTTTTCAACATGGATTCAAAATCCAGCTCTGCCACTTGCTGGTTATATGTCCTCAGCAAGATCACATTTTATATATAAAATGGTAAAATAATGTGCTCATCGATTGGAAGACTCAACACAATAAGACAACAATTCTTCCCTAATTGATCTTTAAAGTTAACACAATTCCACTCAAAATCTCAGAAAGCTTTTTGTAGATAAAGAAGCTTATTCTAAATTTTGCATGGGAAGGAAAAGGCAAAACAATTTTGAAAAGGAATGAAGTGGCAAAAATCACTCTCCCCAACCTTAAGGCTTATTATATAGTTGCAGTAATCAAGACTGCAATTCTAACATTGCTAAAATGGCCAGGAGGCCACATGTTCTGACCTCTTCTAATCCCACAAGAGGAAGACAGGATTACCAGCAGTAACCCAAGGCCTATTACTACAGGGCCAGACATGCTGCCTCCCTCCAGCCCTTTCACCAACTGTTCCTCCCAAAGCACCACCACCTCTCTCCTAGATTTGATAATTTGCTGCAGTGGCCAC